TGTAGTAGCATGTATCAGTATGTCATCACTTTTTAATAACTGAATAATTCCATTGCATGGATATATCAGTTTACCATTCATCCGCTGGTCATTTTCACCCTTGACTATTTTGAGTAGTGCTGCCATGAACAAGGATGTGCAAGTTTTAGGGGTGTATATTATATCTCAGGAGTGAAATTGCTAGGTCACATCTATGTTGAACTTCTTTTTATTTTTATTTTTTGGTACTAGGGATTAAACACAGGGGCACTTAACTGCTGAGTCACATTCCCAGCCCTTATGTTTAACTTTTTAAGGCACCACCAAACTCTCTTCCACTTTTATGGTTATAATTCACAAGATGTGTTGATCACCAGTTAGAAGAAGTAGGATGGCTATGGCCAAACCCTGGGCTGTGCCAAAAGATGTCTTTCAGAAACACTGATTAGAGCAGCCAGGTTTGACGTGAGCCAAGCAAGGTTCCACGTAGGGCTTTGAGCAGCTTCTCTGCTGTCTACATGTCACAACATGAACTAGTGGGGCAGGAATATCTTCCTGCCTCCTAGGCATCCTTGTTTCCCATTACGTTGAACACACTTTAGGAAGAAGATGTTAACTAGTCTAACTTAGAGGCTTCCCTCCTGTTTTTGCTAAAGAGTTCAGATTAGCACCTGGAGTAAAAACAGAAAAAGGGCTTGGGAGCTGGCACTATGTCCCTGTCCTTGGCAGTGGCTAGTACTTTCATGGTTTAGGAACAGGCCTCCCTAACATTAGTTGAGACCACAGGGAGATCTTCCAACCACAGTTGACTTTTGCCATACATTCAGAAGACTGAAAGCATTGCCCAGTGATCCTGATCCTAGTAACCCAGAGATACCAGAGGGAAGTCTACCTCACTTTGTAGATTGTAGAATGTCCACCCCTTGGGCCTGGCCAGTCCAGCAAGAGATAATCCAACTACAGGCATTGTTTACTGCAACTGAAGAATTGAGTCATGAGGCTTCTCAGTCACTAACCCAACTCAGACTGATAAGCACTGATTTTTAAACTTGTTCATAAGCCTCTCAGAGTGTTGACCTTTTACCCCAACTCCCTAACACAGGAAGTTTCTGAAGCCCAAACCAAGGAGCATTGTGTTGCACTGCCAAAAGTAGACAATCCAAACCACTTTTGGCTTTTCCACTTGAAGCTCAATACCAAGAATGAAAAAGTCGGCTTCTGGGTCCTTGTTACAGTCACTTTGCCAACCCAGCTGTCACTGACAAGTCTCCTGGCAGCCCTCTCAGGTGTCCTGGCCTGAATCTGTCGTGAGGACAGAAAAAAGTCTCTTGCTGGTCATATCCTCTGTAGTCTGGCAGGAAACCTAAAATTTGCCTGCTGCAGTTCTCAATCTGTTTGCTTATCTGCTTCCTTGTTGGGAAGAGTCTGCATCGCAGTGTCCGGTGCAGGGGGATTTTCACCATGACCTCACCCTCCTCCTCATTCACTAATTTCAGCGAGCCAAAGCACTGCCGAGGTCATAACGTGGGTGGGAACCCACATTAAAGCGGACATTAACAACCTCTCCTACCACATCTCAGACAAACGTCAATTCCAGTTCTTTCTCCTCAAACCAAGGCCTTTTGCAGGGCTCAGAAAATGCCAGAAAGAGGTGGGAAGACGGTGATCGACACATCTAGTTATCCTTCCAGTCTTCGGGAGGCAGAATGGAAAGGGAGTCACTTGAAGAAAAGCCACTAAACACCTTCCAAGGCTCGTGCCGGCTGCTGCAATGATCTCGCAGCCACTGGCCTCGACGTGAGGCAGGAGGGAGTGACAGCAGACGGCGGGTGCGCTACCTAGGAGAAAGGGTGGTGGCAGCGGTCGGGCAGAAACGGAGCCAAAGGCAGATCAGGCGTCCGGCCTCCGGGGCTCGGAGAACGAGGGCTTCCGCGCAAAAGTGGGAGCAGATAAAGGAAAACAGAAAGTTGGGCTCCGTAGGCGCGCGCCAGACCCGCCCACGTGACCGCAGCTCCCCGGCCCTCCTCGCGCGCGCTCGGCGAC